TTATAAAAACATATTTTAAATACATTTTGAGGAATAGCTATTACAGAAAGAGGTGACAGTCAACTGTTCTCACATTCTGAAAGGTAATGATATCATCACCACAGAATGAATCAAATGTCCTCTCTCCACCCAGTCTTCTGGAAGGAGTTCTCCATATACTTTTCTCTCAAAATCACTGTGAACAATGGGCTGATGCTTTTGTTTCTTTTCTCAGTATCCCTGTGCTTTTCAACCTCTCTGCTCTAGCTTCTGACCCACCACCTAAGACTCTTCTTGCCCTATCTAACGGCATTTTGTCTAGCTCCATCCTCCTTCATCTCACTTCAGTATCTGGTGCCCTTGATCAATGCCTCGCTGAAATGTAAGCTTTGGGGCTGGTGCTGTGGTATAAAAGATAAAGTCGCTGCCTGTAGTGCCGGCATCCCATATGGTGCTGGTTCAAGTCCTGGCTGCTCCACTTGTGATCCAGCTCTCTGCTTATGGCCTGGGAAAACAACAGAAGATGGTCCGAGTCCTTGGGCTCCTGCACCCACATGGGAGACCCGGAAGAAACTCCTGGCTCCATGCTTCGGATTAGCCTAACTCTGGGAGTGAACCAGCAGATGGACGATCTTCCTCTCGCTGTCTCTTTCTCTCTCTCTCTCTTACCTCTCCCTCTCTCTCTCTGCCTCTGCCAGCCCTCTAACTCTGACTCCCCTCTCAGAACCTTGTCTCCTAACTGGCCTCTTGCCTCTATTTCCCTGCATGTGCTCCAGTAGGCAATGACTTCTTTTCCAGAGTGTTACAGGGTTCTTGGGTCTACTTAGTGAGCCACCAGGGCACCGCTCTCATAGCATTTGAATCTTATTGAGGCCTTAATCCCGATGGGGGAGAAATTTTATCAGATGACCATTGCACCCATTGTTTTAATTTTGCCTGGGGGTTTCTAGGCATGAATCTAGGCCCAACAACTTCAGATGCTATTGAATATATATGGTTTATCCAGATGATGAAGTCTTGGACTTGAGACATCTCCCAACCTGATTCCTCATGCATGAGGCTGGTTTGACTGACAGCCCAATGATTAGACACTTCCAGTGTTGGCTTTTGGTTTGAGGTGCAAGATTATGGTCTCTGTGTTGGCCCTCAGTTTTTTCCCTTCCAGCTTGCCCCTTCGTGGGCTCTTACGAGAGCTTCCTTATAGGTCATTGCCCTTTATTCTATCACCTATCAGATCCTCTGGATGGGTGTGCATCTGCTCTGATGGATGCCCTCTCCCATTAAACCTGACATAATGGTGAACAATCTCCAGTGGAAAACTAGACTCAGATTCAATCAGAAACTAAAAAGATGCCTTTGTAAATAACAATCTCTTGCATGAGAACGTGGTTCAACTGTAACTGAACATTGGGATTAAAGAAATTTCTCTCTCTTGAATCTAGGAAGATCACTGCCTTCAAAAAGGATTGCTTTGAGGCCGGCGCCGCGGCTCACTAGGCTAATCCTCCGCCTTGCGGCGCCGGCACACCGGGTTCTAGTCCCGGTCGGGGCGCCGGATTCTGTCCCGGTTGCCCCTCTTCCAGGCCAGCCCTCTGCTGTGGCCAGGGAGTGCAGTGGAGGATGGCCCAAGTGCTTGGGCCCTGCACCCCATGGGAGACCAGGAAAAGCACCTGGCTCCTGGCTCCTGCCATCGCCGGCCGCAGCGCGCCGGCCGCGGCGGCCATTGGAGGGTGAACCAACGGCAAAGGAAGACCTTTCTCTCTGTCTCTCTCTCTCACTGTCCACTCTGCCTGTCAAAAAAAAAAAAAAAAAAAAAAAAAAAAAAAAAAAAAAGGATTGCTTTGTAACTTGCCAAATTTGTTTTGAAACTTCATTTAACAGGTTTCTAAATAGCCATGGGTGATCAGTGCTTTTTATAGCCCCCCTAAGGTGGATTTTGCAATCTCTGGTTTAATATCATTAATTTATAGCTAGAGTTTTATAAAAAGGAGAATTCCACATAATTTAACTTTGACCTTAGTTCACATAGAGATACAATATAATATCACCATTTTCAGTCATCTAGGTATAACTGCTAAGTACAAATTGGGTAAAGCAAATGAGATAAATGTATCTACATGTAAACTTTGGTACTCTTAACACCTTATAGTCTATGGAAAACCTATTTGGGTTTCCTAACGTGTTTTCATAAATTGTTCATATGAAAATAGTTCAACATCACTTGAAATTAACTAACATTGAAATTGATGAAATATCTTATATAGAAAATGTTGCCTTTAGAAATTTTTACATAAAATTAGAATCCGATATCTGTTAAAGCAATGAGGTACATATGTTAGTAAATATTTTTTAAATAGTCTTAAAAATCTGTTTAAAAATTGCAGTGTCGCATTTTAATAGCTTTTGTTTAATCGGTAACTCTGTCAGTTTTCTAATCCACTGCAGGAATCTATTTCTCTTCCCTAGTTCTGACTCTGTTAAAATTGTTCCAAGTTATGGGATGCTTCCATGTGCTGATTCTTATATTTAAGATTTTATTTACAATTTTTGGGGTGACTGAGGAGACACAGATTTTTTGTTTATTGACGTAATCTATTGTGTTCTCTTAATGTCTCTGTTAGGTTCTAATTGTTTCAAAACAGCTGAGGGTTTTTTTTTATTAAGAATTATGGTTTGTTTGAATATATATTTATTCTAAAGCATATGAGTAATCACTTTGTTACAATGATCAAATCTTTATATTATCAGGTCGGCGCTGCAGCTCACTAAGCTAATCCTCCACCGTGTGGTGCTGGCACACTGGGTTCTAGTCCCGGTCGGGGCACTGGATTCTGTCCAGGTTACCCCTCTTCCAGGCCAGCTCTCTGCTGTGGCCAGGGAGTGCAGTGGAGGATGGCCCAAGTGCTTGGGCCCTGTACCCCATGGGAGACCAGGATAAGCACCTGGCTCCTGCCATCAGATCAGCATGGTGTGCCAGCCACAGACGCCGACCGCGGCGGCCATTGGAGGGTGAACCAATGGGAAAGGAAGACCTTTCTCTCTCTCTCTCTCTCTCACTGTCCACTCTGCCTGTCAAAAAAATAAAAAATTAAAATTAAAATAAATAAAAGATTTTAAAAAAATCTTTGTATTATCTACATTATGTCATAATGTTAACGGATCCTGTTTCTACCAGGTATTTTAAGCCTTCTTAGCATTTGTGAGAGGCATTCAAAAAATCGAACTTCAAATTCTTTGGACTTTGATATTTCCAGTTAGGCCCCAGGAAATATAAAAGGATAGGTCTCTCATCTTGTAGAGATCAGCTAATATCAAACATGATGGTTATCTTAATGAGAATGGTGCAGAGGCCTAAAGGGATGTACAATCTAATACTTTATCCATTTTAGTATTTTTTGTTGTTGTTGTTCTAGTACCATAGGTTGAACTCTGTAATTAACACACAATTATTCTTAGGTGTTTAAATTTTAACTGAAAAGTGATCCCTGTCAGGAATTTGGAAAACATTATGCTGAGTGAAATAAGCCAATCCCAAAGGGACAAATACCACTTGTTCTCCTTGATAGGAGACAACTAACTGAGCACCAAAAAGGAAACCTGTTAAAGTGAAATGAACACTATGAGAAACGGTGACTTGATCAGCCCTCACCCTGACTGTTGATGAGCAACTTAATATGTTATCCCTCTTAGTATTTTTTTGTTTGTTCTACTTAATACTTTTGGTTGAATAATGTAATCAATACACAATTCTTCTTAAGTGCTGAAACTTAACTGAAAAGTGATTGCTGTTAAATATAAGCATGAGAATAAGAGAGGGAAGAGATGTGCAATTAGGGACATGCTCAAGCTGACTTACCTCAAACGGTAGAATTAGAAATATACCAGGGGATTCCAATTCAATCCCATCAAGGTGGCATGTATCAATGCCATCTCACTAGTCCCAGTGATCAATTTCTATTCACAACTGATCCTAATGATAGGACTAAGAACCAAAGGGAGCACATAAACAAGACTAGTGTCTGCTAATACTAACTGATAGAATAAAAAAGGGAGAGAATGATCCAACATGGGAAGTGAGATACACAGCAGACCCATAGAATGGCAGATGTCCTAAACAGCACTCTGGCCTCAGAATCAGCCCTTAAGGCATGCAGATCCAGCTGAAATGCCCATGAGAGTATTTCAGGCATGGAAAGCCAAGACACTCTGGGGGGGAAAAAAAAAAAAAAACCTAAATGAAAGATCTCCGTGAGTGAGATCCCAGTGGAAAGAACGGATCATCAAAGAAGGAGGTACCTTTCTCTGAAGGGAGGAGAGAACTTCCACTTTGACCATGGCCTTGTCTAAATATGATCAGAGTCGGTGAACTCAGGGGGCTTCCATAGCCTTGGCAGCTCATGACAAGAGCCTAGGGTGATTACTGAGGCCATAAACAAGAGTGTCAATTTGTTAAGTCAACAACAGGAGTCACTGTGCACTTACTCCTCATGTAGGATCTTTGTCCTTAGTGTGCTGTACATTGAGATTTAATGCTATCACTAGTACTCAAACCGTATTTTTCACTTTGTGTTTCTGTGTGGGAGCAAACTGTTGAAATCTTTACTTAATGTATGCTAAACTGATCTTCTGTATATAAAGAGAATCGAAAATGAATCTTGATGTGAATGGAAGGGGAGAGGGAGTGGGAAAGGGGAGGGTTGCGGGTGGGAGGGACGTTATGGGGGGGAAGCCATTGTAATCCATAAGCTGTACTTTGGAAATTTATATTCATTAAATAAAAGTTTAAAAAAAATCAGAGGTGATTTCAAAAATATGTGCAGTAAACAAGTGCCTATTCTTATTTGTTAATGAGTTTATAACTTTAAACTTGGATATTTAGAGTCTTTTGTTACCCACAATGTTGTGTTCTTCAACAATTAAAAATCAGATGTACTGCTCATGAAGTTAAAACATTGTGGTTCTGTGGTAAAATGTTCCCATTTAGGTTCAAAAGGACTTCTTTTTCCCCTGATTTTATGTATTCAATATTTTGGGACAGTTCTGTAAGAAGATAAAGGCAATAATGTACTACAGGTTCCAACCTAGAAAAAGTAAGATTAATTCAGATTACTAAGAGCAGAAATTCTAATCAACTGATGGTAATTTAAAAAAAAAGATTTTAAAAAACTACTACTGAAAGTTCTATAGTTCTATCTTATAGGTTATATTATATGTGAGTACATATTGTATGTAAATATGGGAAAATTTATTAATAGCTCTGCTTTAATTGGTTTATAGATAAAATATTCCTAATAAATTAAAATTGCTTAGTTAATCAAATACAACTTTTTTGGTTTTTGGGACCTAAATTTCTTTGCCAAATATTTTATTTTTAAAAATATTTATTTATTTGAAAGGCAGAGTTAGAGAGAGAGAGAGAGAGAGAGAGAGAGAAAGAGGCCTTCCATCTGCGGGTTCACTCCCCAGATAGCAGGAACAGTCGGAACTGAGCTGATCCTTAGCCAACAGACAGGAGCTTCGTCTGGTTCTCCCACGTGGGCACAGGGGACCAAGGACTTGGGCCATCTTCCTCTGCTTTCCCAGGCCATAGCAGAGAGCTGGATTGGAAGAGGAGCAGCCAGGACCTGAACCAGCTCCCATGTGGGATGCCAGTGCTTCAGGCCAGGGCTTTAACGTGCTGCACCACAGCACTGGTCCCACCAGGTGTTTTAAATTTGTTGACGTGTTTGTACTTGGGTTTGCTATTCAAACAAGTTACACTTGCATTACATATTTAAGTGATGTTTCCAAATACATGTACCCTTGAAATTTATAGAAGGCATTGGACATTTTGGTAAATGTCTTTCAACGTTGTCAGTGAACAGTTAAAATTCTTTGTTAAGTTTTCATTTGATATTGTTATTCTCAATAAGCAATTTGGGGAAGACTGAAGTATTCCCTCATTTCTCTTTTCTCTTCAAGATGGGAAATTATTTCTATTCTGAAAGACTCTCCAGGATGTACAGTTGGATCTTTAGACCTTTTAAAAGGGATGCCTAACATTTTTCTGTAATAGTAGCATAGCCCAAATGAGAGCTTAAATTATTATTTCACAGCTAGATTTACTTTGCCATGGGCACAGTAACAGGCAAAACCTCCCTTTCAGACCAAAGGAAGGGAGAGAAAGTTTTATGAATGACTTCAAATTTTATATTTAAAATGGTCATCATGTTTAATGTTAAAGTGAGAACATAACTTTCCTCATGAGCTTTGTCTACCCTATCTCACAGAAAAACCACTATCAGAACATGCCTGTGACTATAGACTTCTACTTTAAGCCACCAAAGTTTAGAAATAGGACTTGAGAATCCATTTGCTTGCATCCTCTTAGAGGTTTCCTCTGGTCTGCTTGGAAAAAAAAAAAAAAAAACAGGAGGAAGAGGAAGCTAGGCAGCAGAAGCTACCAGGCCAAATAGTGGCTGCTCTATACAGTGATCTGCCATCAAGGAGACATAACAGTCCACTGCATTAGCTTTCTTTCTTTTTTTTTTTTTTTTTTTGAGGTTGATTTATTAACTTGAAAGTCAGAGTTACACAGAGAGGGAAGGAGAGGCAGAGAGAGAGAGAGAGAAGGAGAGACAGCCTCCTATCTGCTGATTCACTCCCCAGTTGGCTGCCACAGCTGGAGTTGTGCCAATCCAAAGCCAGCAGCCAAGATCATCTTCCAGGTCTCCCATGCAGGTGCAGGGGCACAAGAACTTTGGCCATCTCTACTGCTTTCCCAGACCATAGCAGAAAACTGGTCAGAAGTGGAGCAACTGAGGGCAGTGGCTCTAAGCATTATGTCACAGCGCCAGACCTTGCATTGGTTTTCGATGTGGAAAGCCAGGGCTTCAGCAGAAGTCAGCTTAGGAAGAGACCTAGCAGTTATGCCAGCCAAGAGTTGAGTCATTGGAAACAGAACTGCCCAGGAGTTGAAGCACTCCCAGGTTAGAGCCACAGACCTTGTTGACTCTAAGTTCAAAAGCCCTTCTTTCAGCCCAACTTCTGATGCAACCACTGCTGTTGAGGGCATGGCCAAGAAGAGTCAGCAACATTGCAGGGAGAACTGAAAATTAACTAAAACCATTTTCCTTTTGGATATGCTACCTACCTTTTCTTCCAGCCAGCTCTCCTCCCAGGCAAGCAAGGTAATGGAAGTCAACACAGTACATTGCCTAAGGAGGTTCATTCACTCTTCCATTATAAGGTACCCCATGTGAAGAGATACATGTGTCTGAGCCTCATAACTGGCAAGGCCTTAAAGCCAACCTGATTATTAGAAAGCCATTTCTGTCAGTTTCCACTTGACTCTCAATGGGAAAACTTGCTGGTGGTTTAGACAGCACCTTTCTTAGATCCTCTAATAATGACTCTGTCCTTTGCTTTAGACCCTGGGAGTTTAAGCTGCTTTTTAGATTTGTTTCCCCAAAACTTGAAACAGTGAAATTCTAGATAGCCCTGCACCTGAAAACTCAGATGGAAACACTTTCTGCAAGCTAGCCCTGCCATCACTCTGGATAAGCCAGCTCCTCCTGAGAAGACACCTCCTGCTGGAACCCTGTCCTGACTCCCATTCCCAACAATGCTCCTTTTCAGCATGAAGCAGCCAGGCGATCATCATCCAATCCCCCTAACAGAAGTTAGGGACCATTCTTCTGGAGGGGGGCAATGTGAGGAGTCAAATGGTTAATAGACAGTCTGGAAATTGAGGATAGAAGATGTTCCATCAAAACTTTTCCTTAGCAAGATCAGTAGTGCCTGCCTGCCCACTCCTTGGGAGCTTCCAATCTTATCATGAGAATTCAAGGGAGTGGTGACTCCACCCTCTGAGCTCCCGATTTACTGTAAAACAAATTAGGTATCCCACTCTTGTGATGGCTCTTTTGTTTACCCAGGAGCAATCCATCAGGATAAAGTGTTGCAAATCATGTCTTTTGATGGAATTTGTCCCTGACATGTAACTGAATGTTAATCTGATTGTCAAGTTATTGTTGTTGTTGTTGTTGTTGTTTTCAAAATTGTGCTTAAAAACCCCAGTACATCAGGCCCCTTCTGGTTTTTCCTCTCTCAGGAGCCCTCCTCTATGCCACTCTGGCTGGAGGTCTCTGACTCTAGTAAGTCTTGATTTTAAATCTAAAAAAAAAAAAAGTAAATATATAAATCTGAAATGTAAGCTTCCTTGGCCTCCACTGGCTCCTTTTCCATTAGTTCTATTTCTTTTACCTTCCTCATTATTGTAGGCATCTTCCTGGGCTTTTGCCTCAATCCTCTGCTATTATCTCTTGAGGTAAAGACAGGTTATTCATTCTCTCATCTTCAACCTGCATCTCTGAAAAATAATTCCCAAATCTCTTGATCTCTAACACCAGCCTTTTCTACTTGACCTGTATCAAAGTCCATATTCTAAACTTCCAACAGTCCCTACTTTGAGATTCTGCCAACATTTCAAATTCAACATGTCTGAAACCACTCCCTGAGCACTGCTCCCCCTTCCAAGTCCCCCATTTCAGTTATCAACACTACTGTTCTCATCTCCAGTCTTATATTCTGTAACCTGCCTGTAGGTATTCTCTCCATCACTCAGGCCCATCTTCTCACCAACCACCAGACTCATGACTTAATTCACTGCTATACTGTCCTCTAAGTGATGCAGGATGCATCCAGACAATGTGGCAGCAAATCCATTGTATCTAGCTCTAAGTTATCTACAGTCAAAATGCTTCTCACCAACTTCCTCTTATCTATCTTATCCCAGCTACCATTATCATTTTTGAATAATCTTTTAGTATTGTAAAAGTTGCTCTGATTCTACTCTGGACCTCTGCCCCCACAGACTTGGTCTATTTGCAACATGGCACAGAATGAATATTTAAACTCAAAGAAAGTCCTCACTTTCCTGTGTATTTCTCTCACTGTATAAATGCTAAAAGCCTTACCATGTCACCTGTTTTATTTGAGCTGATATTCCAAATTCTACTCTGAATAGACAGCAAAGACCCTCAGCAGTAACAGTAAAATTTTTAACAAAGCTAGCCAATTTCAGTCTCTCATCTGCTTGCATACTCTCCCTCTTGCTCTTTCTCCAGTGACATTGATTGATCTCTTTACTTTTCCCCAAAAATGCCAAGCATGCCTGTGTCCCAGAGTGTAGAAGCTGCTGTTCCCTCTGCCTAGAATGTTCTTCTCCTAGATTATGCTTGTGTCGGCTTTCTTTTGAGTATTCGTTCAAAAGCCACCTCAGTGAGGCCTTCCCTGACCACACTGTGTGAAATAGACTACTACACTGCCCCCAAGAACTCCCTATCTCAGTGCCCACTGTTCTTTCTCCCTAACACTAGATCAGCTTTTGGGATACTGTGTAATTTATGAATTTTTCTCATTTGTTCCCTATACCTCCCTCTGAAATGTTAGCTCTGTTAGACAGGAATTTGCCCTGTTTGTACACTGATGTATATCCCCAGTTCCCATGCATATATGATGTTGTGCTCAATACATATTTACGCTGTAATTAAGTAATCGAATTGTAAGCACTTTGAGGGCAGCTGTATTTTGGCAGTGCTTAACCCAGAGTTGGATTCATAATAGATGCTAAATAAATTTGTATGGAATCACATGTGAAGCAAATTTGTGATATAAATATAGCTGCAATTTTAATACAGAGATAAGAAAAATAAATTTCTAATGTGTGGGTGTTTGCTACAACAGTTACGTCATTGCTTGGTTTGAGTACTTGCCACTTCAGATCCAGCTTGCTAATGCACACCCTGGTAGGTGGCAATTGATGGCTCCATTACTCCAGTCCCTGCCACTCACATGAGAGATCCAGATTGGGTTCCAAGTCCTGGCGTTGGCCTGGTACAGTCCAGCTGTTGTGGGCATTTGGAGAATGAGACAGCAAATGGAATTTCACTCTGTCTCTTCTTCCCTTTGCTTTCAAATAAAATAAAAGTAAATAAATAATTTGTCAAATGTTTTATATCTACCATGTAGACATATGAAATACTCCTAAAAAAATCATCTCTTCCTGTATTTGTCCCTGAGTTTTCCACATCTAGGAAAT